TGGCCCAACATAGTGACATTTATGTCAGATCTGGCCATTGTAACAAGTGAGTTTGACACCTCTGCTTCGGTGGAGAACACCGAAGAAGAAGAGGAGAAGAAGAGATTGGATTTATACCCTGCCCTTCACTCGGAGTCTCAGAGCGGCTTACAAACTCCTTTCCCTTCCCGTTCCCACAACAGACAACCTGTGAGTTGGGGGGGGTGGGGCGAGAGACATTGCTTGTCCTGGGAAGTGCATGCCAATAGACTACATATTGGGAGAATCCAACAGTTCTTTCTCCTTTCTCCAATTTAAGTTGAAGGAAGGAGTAGACGGCTTCAAAAGGGAATTAGATAAGCATATGGAGCAGAGGTCCATCAGTGGCTATTAGCCACAAGGTATAGATAGGGGCTCTGGGGCAAGTGATGCTCTGTCATCTTGGTGCTTGTGGGGGGGTCAACAGTGGGAGGGCTCCTGATGGCACTGGTATTTCTGGCCACTGTGTGATACAGAGTGTTGGACTGGATGGGCCTTTGGCCTGATCCAACATTGGCATCTCTTATGTTCTTATGTTCTTAAGGCTTCAAACTCAACTAAAAGGAAAAGTGGGGTATACACATTTTCCGTAATACATTTTGCTCTGTGGAGTGGTCGTATGGGGTAGGACCCACCCCAGTTCCATATACGTTTGTTGGCTGTGATCTTGGCTGGGAATTCAGTCGCTGGTTTCGAGGGCAACTGTGTTTGGGATACCTTGGGAGGAAGGCGAGTTTTCCCTCCGTTTCCTTGTCATCCGCTCTCCTGATTTTTCTACTGTATTGGTAACGAAAGCTGCACAAAGGGTGAAACGGAGTTCATCAGGAGCAGTTCTGACTTGGATGGGTTGCTTCAGACAGCTGCGTTAACACTTGTGGACTTTCGTTTTTGTCAGAAGGCAACCTTCCTTCCTAAAGCAGTGTGGCAGCTCTGTCATGTTAAGGGACAGCAAAGGAAGATAGCAGAGGAGCTTCAGCCAGGTGAGAAGATGAGATCTGAAAGCTCTCAGAGCCAAAGAACTTCGACTGGCGACTTTAACTCTGAAACGTGGAAAGTTCCTTGAAAATGAGCCTGCAGCCCCGATACGAAGAGCCACAGGCTAATGCTCTTGCTGCTTTGAGATAGACAATTAAACGTGTGTACTGTAATTAAAACATGTGTACTGGCAGTCTTTAAGCAACGGCTGGACAAACCCTTGTCAGGAATGCTTTAGGCTGGTCCTGCATTGGGCAGGGGGTTGGACTAGATGGCCTGTATGGCCCCTTTCAACTCTGTGATTCTCTGATTCTAAGAATGAGTTTAATGGAAGAACAAGTTCACACATGGCTTTGGGTTAATGACAACTGCAACATGGGCTTTGTAGTTGTTGGAAAGGTAGTCTACCTTATGTCCACATCTCTGTGGATGTATAGGGCTTTCACTTTGTTCCAATGAGTGCACACATCAGCTTTTTAAAATGGTGGCCATCGTAAAGGGACATGAAGGGTGAATAAATCAGTGTGAATTTGTTTTACTGTTGTATCTCAGCATTGTAAGATATTGGCAAAGGAATGGGATCGATGAGAATGCCTAATTCCTTTAAGCCGTAGTTCACTTATTGTTTTGTTGACGGGAGCACTGCTTTTCTCTGATGTTAAAAAGATTATTCGGCCTTGACCGAGAATAGACGTAGCGTTCTTGAGATGAAAGAAGATTCCTCTCCCAAGGGTATGAGAGGTTTGGGTTAATTAATATTTCAAAATAGGCTTTGAAGAGTTTTACAACTTGGGGTTTGTATTTGCTCAGAATTGTAACTTGTTGCATGTTTGCCGGAAGTGGTTTTTTCTGGACTTGGCTGAGTCTCAGTCGAGTTTGAGGGAAGTTATTCCTCTGTGAACATGAGTCCTAAGTAGAATGCTGTTCTTTGGCTCACTGAGTTGCTGAAACAGTTCATCTTTTTTGGAATTTTGGAGGAGAGTAAAATCATTGTAATGGGTGTTTCTCCATCTTCTATTTGGTCCATTTTAGTTTTATCTTGCTTTTCCTCCAAGAGTCGGCTGTATGGTTCTCTTTCCTCATGTTATTTTCACAATAATGCCGTGAGGTAGAATAGGCTGAGAGAGTAGATTAACGGCCCCAGGTCATCCAGCAGTCTTCATTGCTCAATGGGGAACTTGAACCTGGGTCTCCCAGATCCTAGTCTGATACTCTAACCACGACATCACACTCAAATCCCCCTGGAAGAAGAGAGAGAGATTGAGAGAGAGAAGAGATTGGATTTATACCCCGACCTTCACTACCCGAAGGAGTCTCAGAGTGGTTTACAATCCCTTCCCCTCCCCACAACAGACACCTGTGAGGTAGTTAGGGCTGAGAGAGCTCTCTCGAGAACTGCCCTTGAGAGAGCAGCTCTGAAAGAACTTGTGACTGACCCAAGGTCACACCAGCAGCTGCGTGTGGAGGAGTGGGGAATGAAACCTGGTTCTCCCAATTAGAGTCCGTGCTCTTAACCACTACACCAAACTGGCTCTCACTACACCAAACTGGTTCTGACTTTGGACATTGTCAGGAATGTTATTGATAATAAAATATACTCTGCAGCTGTTCTGTCTTCTGCGTGTGGGTGGGAAAATTTGCTGCGTAGCCTCAAATAGCCACATTGATATGATGCGGAATCACTGCAGCTTCTTGGTCTTTGACACGCTGTGACACAGTGAGAGCGTGCCTCACCGTAAAAAGTGACAGCAGATGGCGTTGTTTAGTAGTTGTCCATGAGTGCTTGGAAGAGCTGAGCTTACCCCCTGGCTGGAAGGAAGGTGTGTCTCTGTACAAAAAGAAAATGCGGTTAGGATTCTGGAAGAGACGGATGGAATCTGCTGGGAGTTCGATAAAGCACCTTGAAGGGTACACAGTTTCTCTCTGGGATCTGACGCCGGAACAGATCTGTTGCCTCTGGGTGTGCCCTCTATCTGTGCTCTACCTGTATTGCTGTAATTAAAGCAAACAGTACAAAAACTGATATGTCCAGTTTGCTCTTCTCCAGAGGGAACTAACCTGGATGGACCAGAGCTTCTCAGCACTTGGAGAAGTGGAGTAGGTGTAACAGTATTTTGCAGTAGAATTTCAGCAATGAGAAATCTCTTAAAGGGCCAAACTAGATATGTGTGACACGAGTCATGTCAGGGACCCCCGTCCTGACTTGCAGTCACACGTGACATCAGGGAATTAAAGTTCCCAAGCACCCCAGGGCTTGACTTGGCTCGGGAGATGGAAAGGGCAGGTGGGAGTTCAACCTACCTTCCTGCACCATTTTCCTAAGATGAAATGGTCAGGAATGAAATGGTCTCTGCCTGCTGTGGGAGCCCCGCAGTGGGTCAACCCCTTCTCTGTGGCCGTGTCAGCTTGGAAAAATGGTGCAGGAGGAAAGGCTGAAGGCTCCCCCTGAAGAAGATGAGGTTGGATTTATACCCCACCCTTCACTCGGAGTCTCAGAGCAGCTTACAATCTCCTTCCCTTCCTCTCCCCACAACAGACACCCTGTGAGGTGGGTGAGGCTGAGAGAGCTCTTTGAGAACTGCTCTTGAGAGAACAGCTCTGAGAGGACTGTGACTGACCCAAGGTCACCCAGCTGGCTGCATGTGGAGAAGTGGGGAATCAAACCTGTTCTCCCAGATTACAGTCCGCGCTCCTAACCCTGTCCGCCTCTGCTGCACTCCCATACTCATTCGGGCCTTGGTGCCCTCAGGAACATTAGTTCCTCAATGTGACATGTGACACTCAACCCAAGTTGCACCACATGTGTGTGTCTAGTTTGGCCCTTTGTCCTGCCTGGATCCCACCTCCCTCTAACCTTTCGGGCTTCTGCTTTACAGGGTATCCTATCCTGTTAGATAAGTTTGCGATGTCCTCTGTCTGCCAGCATCTCCATGCCTCTTGACCCCGAGTTACTGACCTCCCCCTCCTATCTTTGCCCTGCTGCACACTCAGCTGCTTCTACTGTTAGGCTGGGTTCTCGTGTTGTGCCAGGACTTGGTGTAGTATTGCTCCTTCATTTGTTGCCAGGGTAATGGGGAAAGCCATGGGAGCACGCTGGGTTGTGGCCCCCTTCCCAAACCAGTGCCACCCATGGTTCTGAAGAACATTGTTGATGTGGGAAGGTGTTGCAGGCTGGCCTCTTCTTAAAGGGCACCTTGTGTTACCCCAGAAGCACAGCCGGGAGCAGCACTGCAGATACTTCCATGCTGCTGAGGACCATTTCTGCAGTAGTAAAATCCCCCACATTGACATTTTTAAAACAGCGCTGAAAAGTATGCAGATGGAGAGTCATTTCAGCTAAGCATACCTTTATTTAGTCAGGAACAAAGACACTTGGCTGGCTCACAGGCCGGCTTATATTCCTTCAGAAAACCCGCCACCAAACACACCAAACACACCCCCCACTCCCGATTGGCTATTTACAGTAACCGAGAGACCTATTGGCCTCCCGGCTGTGGACCTAGCCCTTTTATTGGGCCTAGCTAGGATCCTACCGGCCCATTGTCTTTTGGCATGAAGCTAGTGGTGTTTGTGCCTGAGCCAGTCCGTGCATGTCCGGACATGTCAGGCTGGATACACTACAAGCGCATTATGTGAAATTTTCTGCAAACCCAAAGTTTTCTCCTCCTTACCCCACATTTTCAGAATCCCCAGTTTTAGTGAGTTCTGAAAACGGGGGTAGGAAGGAGAAAACATCAGGTTTGCGCCTGGGGGTGGTGGAAATCTACTGTGGAAAATTTCGCATAAGGAGCAGTTTTTAAAACGTCAATGCGGGGAATTTCACTACTGTGGAAACGGTCCGAGTTGTAAATCCATTTTTCACTCCCTTTCCTCTCTGGAGGATATCTTTAAAAAACAACATCCAACCTTTGTTATTTCTATTACCAAAGCATTCCCTGAACTTCCTTCTTCATCTTACTTCTGACGTCTTGCCCAGTTCCATAAACAGTTTTCTCTTCTCTCCCTAGATTCCTCCACTGGTTGTCGAGGAGCCACTGATACATGTAGAGATGTACAAATTTGCAGGCGCTATGATCCAGTGGTTTGACGAGCTGGAAATGAAGGAGAGCGGGTAAGATGCTGTTAAATACTGCCTGCTTCCTTGAGTGGTGAATGAATGGAATTTGGTTGCCATCAGGTTAGAGTTCTGTGCAGGTGCTGAATGGAAGTCAGGGGCCCCGTTCTGCACTGTCAGCTTGCTCCAGAGAATCCGAGGAGTCAAGCCTTAAGAGTTGAGTTCGCAGTCACACACGTTCCCTCTGCACTGTTTTTCCACCCTCCGGGTTATTTATTTGTGTATTCTGTATGCGTTCTGCATCTACAAGCAAAATTTTTTGCCTAATCAATATGAAAACATCATGTGAAGAGAAGGGCAAGCATCTTTCAAAACTTTTACCTGCAGACCCAACCCCTCCCTCCCTCCCTCCCTCCCTGATTCTGCAAAAAGAAAGGGACGGGAGGGGGAAATCCAGGCCCACACATGCAAGACTGACATATTTGGGAGCAGGGAATCCCCTAGTCCTTTATATTTAATGATTCCTTCTTATGCTCTCTCTGGCTTTTTTAAAGTCTGCCTGAGCAGGCGCTCATGTCCTCTTTTGTATTTGGAGAAGGAGGGAAAGAAAACAGAATGGGGAGGGAGCGTCAGCCTAAAGAGAGAGAGGCAGAAACGGGGGAGGGCAGCGGGCAGCACTTAAATACCCACAGAAACCATTCTACTTTAGAAAGGATTACCGATTTGAAAGCAGATGAGAACAAAGAATCACAGCAAAAGAAGTTTTGGTAACTGCGGGACGACAGTGTGCTGAAAGCGGTCTGAATGCAGGTTCCTTTAAAACAAGTGCAGAACCAAGAAAAAGCTTCGACACAAACTGGAAATGAATGCGGGAGGGAATGCAGAATGGAAGAATAGGATGTGCTTTAGAAACTGAGGCAAAATATAGGTGCAGAAAGGGCCAGAGGGGGACTGGTTTGATCACAAACAGCAGTTAAGTAGCAATCCTGTTTTTAGATTATGCAGGTAGGAAACTCCTTCAGATAGAAAAAAGTCCTTGCAAGTAGAAAACTCATGTCAGGGGAAAGCTAATTTTGTGTGCAGGATGGACTGTGCTTTGAAAACTCGTAAGTGCTGTATAAACATGTGACAGACTGTGAAGGGTTAATGCCTCACAGAGCCAGAGAGCCTTTGAGTGACAGGCTGCATCGACATTGTCAGTTGAGAAAAAGAGCTGGGAACTGACTGCTGAAGAGAATTCAATTTAGCACTGACTGAGGATTGGGAAGGTGGCAAGGAGGTGTGGGAGGATCGCTTAAGACCTCCTTCCGGGCCAGAGAAAAGGGATAGAGCTTCTAGTTTGGAGAAGTAATTCCCTGCCCAGTTGAAAAGGGAGCTAGCTCTAAAGAGTGGAGTGATCCCTGGTTTGGTTAGAGACAAGGATTTTGGGTACTTGGTAGTGTATATCCTGCCTTCTGAAACTTGAAGAGTCAGTTAAACTCCAAGAATTTATACTGGAGTGTTTATCAGACACCGAAAAATAAAGCCTCTCCCCTCAAAGATTCTAAGATCATGAAAAGCTTAAAACTCCAACTTGCTGGAAACAATATTAACTGGAGTTTGTGAAACTACTAAGTTACCTCAGAGTTATTATTGATTCACCTCAGACATTTTACCCCTGATTCCACCTGACCTTATTTTTAAACTTTCAAAAGCCTCTCGTGTGCCATTTTCAGAAGTATAAGTTTAAGAAGGTGATTATGTCTCTTCCCTCAAGTCCCTGGGCTGAGCCAGCATCAAAATATAATAATGTGACAGAGTGGGACAGCCATAAACCTTCAAATAAGAAGAAAACAGATAAATGGGGGGGAATCCTTTGTGTGAGGGAGGAAAGAGGGCAAGTCCACCATAACACAGTTTCTCTTTTTTATGGAAAAGAACTCGTGAACCTCACCTGCAGTCTGAAGTAATGAAACTGGACATAGATTTGTACCTGTTGTGTTTTCCTGGCATTCCATTCTACCTGTGCGTTCACACTAGCGTGTTGTAAGAATACAATACCAGTAAGCAAATATATAAGTTGATCAGATGGGAAGCAAGCAGGCACACGTGAACAGTTGTTCCAGAGCTGCTGCAATGTCTGACCAGCACCCCTAGGATAAATATGGGTATCCCTAACATGGCTAGTTGACCCTGCTGCCCGTCAGGTCAGGAAAATGGTGCTCAGGTAAGGCTGAACCCCCACATGTGCTGGTCCAAACTGAACACCGTGTGGGAACTGAGGAGAACCCGGAACTCTAAACCAATTGTTACACAGAATGGGAGACACCAGTGTATACCTGTGTATTCTGCAATCTGTAAGATAGGCTTCCAGCCACAGTCCGGAGGGGGCGTTTGTGCGTGGGTGGAAGGGGGAGGGAAGCAAGGATGGTTTGCAAAGATGATTTGGGGCATTTGGGCCCAGCACCGGTTGTCAACCAGTCAGCTCTCAAGCAGCTTCCTGCAGCCTGCCACAGAGGTCAGCCCATCGTGGAATTAGGTCAGAGATACACGGGTGTTGGGGGGAGGGGCAGAGAGAAAGCACACTTCTCAACCGAAAAAGGTCAAACATTTTCATGATATAAAGTGATTATTTGTGTATGAGGGCTTCCGTCTCTGTTTGCTGTGAGAGTGAACAGAAGGAAGGAAATTGCCCCTGAGAATACAACCTACGGTTCAAAGGGGACAGTGGCAGAAGAGTAAACAGAGGAAGGAAAGGTCGGTGTGCCTATCTAGCTATCTAGTCTCTCTTGCCACTTGCTTCTGGAGGTCTGAGACAGGGGACGGTGCCTTCACTTCCAGCACTATGTCACGGTACAGCTCAGGAACACAACTGCCGACATCTAGTACAATTTTTTTTTAAATACACCAAGGAAGTCCTTTCAACATTTGAACTGTTCGTAATTGTAAGACAGTCTACCCCTCCAAGACACTTCTACTGAGATCTCCCTGATGCATCTTTTTATTACTGAGCTAATAAGTGTGATTTCTAGTTGGGAGTCATCACGATTTAAAATTCTTTTAGTATTATGCTTCTAAATTCCTGTTCATGCCTACCCAGATGAGAAACTATGCTGCAAAATGCTACAGCACAAAGCAGAATCAAATTGCTTTAATCTGTTCTGCACTCTGAACTAACATGGACATTAAGCATAAAAGCCAGATCAGAGAAACAAGAAAGAGCTGCGCCAATTTTGCCAACTGAACAGCAAGACTTTCTGTGCTGTATGTCTTTAAAATGGTTCTTGGTCCATTATGATTATTTCAAACTGCACATACAGAGTTTTGCCCTGCAGTAATAATGCTACACTTTCATCCAGTAAGACTTGGAGAGCCACTCAAGCTGTCTTTGAGAATCTTTTAAATATCAAAAACAATTTTTTTTAAGGACAGTAAAATCTAAGCGCAGATTCATCAGAGCAGAATTTAAAGCAGTTGTGCAGAACCAAGACTGAGCAGAGAATAAATATCAGAACATGTCTTGGAATGGAAATAGCTGGACTGCAGATTTGTTGCTCGATTTGGACTTTAATGTCATGTTAAGATGATTTCTTAATGCACAGAGATGGAATATATTTCAGGGGCCACGTGCCTTTGGTGCACCGAACAAAGACCTCTCTTCCTAACTTCTTGCATTCACTCCTGATCAGTATGCCTTTTTAAAAACATATATCAAATTGAAGATTCTTTCTAAATAAATCTCACTGTGAAAGTTATACATAACGCCACGCCTACTTAACCAGAAGGGAACGGGTTGTGTCACTTGGAATATAGCCAAATTAAGAAGAAATGCTTTGGCGCAGGCAGGGAAGGGATGCTTAATGGGTTCCTGGCTAGAGAAGGATGACACAGACACACCATGCTGGGAGGAATCAGGCCACAACGCTATTGATTACAGGTTCCTCAGGAGGTAGAGGTGGCTACAAGCATGGATGGCTTCAAGAGGGAATTGGATAAATATATGGAGCAGAGGTCCATCAGTGGCTATTAGCCACAAGGTACAGATAGGAACTCTGGGGCAAGTGATGCTCTGTATTGGTGCTGGGGGGGGGGGAACAGTGGGAGGGCTTCTAGTGTCCTGGCCCCACTGCTGGATCTTCTGATGGCATCTGGTATTTTTGGCCACTGTGTGACAGAGTGTTGGACTGGATGGGCCATTGGCCTGATCCAACATTGGCTTCTCTTATGTTCATATCCTGCACATGTTCCTAAACGCCAGAGGAGGCAGGCAACGTAGCTTGCCTGGCTCCACTACCAAACCAAAGGAACCTGTGATACCTGCACCGATCCAGCTCAGGAGCCACAAGCCATATGTCATTGCCCTCTGTGGGGCGGTGTACTCCAGGTGGTCTGTAAAGGGGGAGGGGGCAGGAGAAGGCTTGGCCGGCGGGCGGCTATAAACCGCTCAGTCCGCTGGCGGGGAGGGAGGGAGGGAGGGAGAAAGTTTGGCGGGCTGAGTTCAGGCCTTGCCACCAGTGCTGGGGGGTGGAGGGAGCAGGCTTGGAGGGGCACGGGCCTCGCCATGGGTGCCGGGGGCAGGGGAAGAGGCTCACCGGCTGCTTCCTTCTCTCCCCCCCCCCCCCCCCCGCCCGGCGGGCCGCCGCGCCTCTCA